GGGAAGTATTCTAAAATATTCTGATTAAATGTCAGTCTTTCAGTTGCCCAGTGACTAGGTGCTGTGACCTTCACAAGTGTTTCACCAACATTATAGCATTTTTTTTCTACTGACTCATGTTCTTTTCTTTGGCTACAACATTCCTAATCTATTTCTTTGAAGCTCTACCCCACGGCCTATGTTTATTTCTCTTAGGTGGGACAGGAAGACTGGACGAGGCTGGACTGAGAGGAATTCCCTTCCTCTAGTTGAGCTAAGGCTCTGACTAAGTCACTTCCCCTGGCCCATAGGGCTTTGTTTTGGAGAAGGTTCTGGGCATATTTCACAACATCACTCTTTCCCAACCCCTGACAGAGCCAGGAGAGGATCTTTTTCAGATCTTCATCATAAAAACCTGGTAAAGTTCCCAGAGGTAAAACCCAAAAATGTGTGGGAATCCCCCTAATATTGGAACCCGCAAGAGTTTCTCAGTAGACTCCAGCCATTCATCAAAGTGTTTAAGTGTTCCTCCCATTTTATGGATCCAGCTGTTTTTGTTCCTCGTAAGCAGATCTCAGCTGTATTCCTCCAGATGCACTGACCTCTCTAGTTTTGAGGTTGACAGTGTGCCCTGCAACCTCAGTTCTTTCATGGGTCCAAGAAAAGTTGTTGATTTTCAATTTGCCTAACTTTTTCTTACTGTACGGATGGGAGTGACTCAGATCTTTACACGTCGGAACTGAAACTGGAAGTCTCATGTTAGTTTTGTCTATAAAACACACCCCTCCATGTTTCCATCTGTGATCATCATGTTTTCCTGTTTCCTCTATTATGAGTTTTACTGTTGCTCGGATTTATAGAAAACTGTCTAGATTCAGTTTAAAAGAATCTTTGATAAGGAGGTAATTTTTTTCAAAATGTCAGTGTGATTGTTTAAGTTAAACATTAGTATTCCTATGTGAACCATTCTAGACATATTTTGATAAAATTAACTGAAGATGAAAACCACTGATAAAGAATTTAATCAAGATTAATGCGGATGCACTGATCTCTCCAGTTTTGAGGTTGACAGTGTGCCCTGCAACCTCAGTTCTTTCATGGGTCCAAGAAAAGTTGTTGATTTTCAATTTGCCTAACTTTTTCTTACTGTACGGATGGGAGTGACTCAGATCTTTACACGTCGGAACTGAAACTGGAAGTCTCATGTTAGTTTTGTCTATAAAACACATCCCTCCATGTTTCCATCTGTGATCATCATGTTTTCCTGTTTCCAGTATTATGAGTTTTACTGTTGCTCAGATTTATAGAAAACTGTCTAGATTCAGTTTAAAAGAATCTTTGATAAGAAGGTAATTTTTTTCAAAATGTCAGTGTGATTGTCTAAGTTAAACATTAGTATTCCTGTGTGAACCATTCTAGACATATTTTGATAAAATTAACTGAAGATGAAAACCACTGATAAAGAATTTAATCAAGATTAATGCTTTCATTTTAAAAGGTTGATAAGGTGGGTGAGCACATTAATGGTTTCATCCATTAAATCTTTTGGTACTAAGAATTGATGTCCTTGTCCTACTTAGGTAAAGAATTTTTATTTCTTGGCAGAAAAAAAGATTATTTATGAATTGAACTATAGTGGTAATTTTTCTCAATTGACTAAAGGTCCAATTTTTGTCTCAAACATTTATCTAGTGGCTTATTGTGTAATGGGCTCTTCCCAAATCAAAGTTTAACAGGGGTGAGGGAAGGGTTAATTATCAGAGAGTCTCCTCATTAAAAACTAGATGTAGCAGTTGAAAAATAGATGGTTTAGTACAAATTCAATGTCCTATAAAACAATAACTACAAGATAATTTCTTTCTTTTTTTTTGTAAAATATATATGAATGTTATATATGG